CATAGTATCTAGTACAGAGACGGTTACTCACCTAAGTCCCCAAGACACAAGAGGTCGAGATGGGGACTTAGGGCGAGCTACAGGGGTCTTATATACACAAATCCATGGTCCAAGAATAGTACAAGAGAATCACATGCAGGGCACAAGGATGAGTAAGACCGACCCACTTAGGTGGGTCAGGATTATGAATCAAGGAGTTAGAAGGAATAACGAGTCATTGTTCATGAGTAAGCGGAATAAAACTCCGGTGGCTGTGCAGGGCTGTGCAAGGCAGTGCAGGGCAGTGCAGGGCAGTGTCAATGATGCTGTACTGCTGCCACTGAAGGTCACGTGACTTTGGAAAAGGAAAGGTGGGAAAAGGAAAATGATAAGTCCATATTTAGAAATGAAAAATGCGAAAATAAATTGTCCTTCTCTTCTCATCACAAGCACGAAGTAAACACATTTCTGATGGGAGATCGAGAACGGAAGGTTCCAGCCACAGAAGGCCACGACAGCGAGAAGAACGATGCAAGATTCGTTTGTCGTGGTTGCACCGAAACCAGGGACCGGTTTAACTGGGCAAGGGCAGTGCGACGAAGTGCGCAGGGGATGCGATGAGATGCTCCTGTGATGGGACAAGCTGCGCGGGACCGGCACTGTTATCGGGGATTGGAGGGACGACCTGTGACGAAGGCTCGCAAGAAGCAACTGGGGCTTCGCTGTCAGCCAGCGGAGCAGCGGCTGCACGACCTCGGTTGGTGGATGAGTGTGCCCCGTCGTCTAGATGGGTATGGGCTGGAGTAAAGGGGGAAAGAGAAGCCGATCGTGCCGCTGGGATCGCAAGGTTACCTCGGATGTGGCGCATGAAGTATTCTGGTCCGAGACCGAATAGCACGTTGTTGCCTCGAAAGGACATATTGCGATGGACTTGCAGCACCGTATGGATTGCCGCGATACTAAGGATAGTCCAGTGGCAGCCATGAGTACCGGTCTTCACAGAGTACATAGAAAGAGATACACACGGGATTGCACAGTTCCTCCCTCCGATGCTGGTGCTGTTAGGCGACTCTCCGTCCGTCCTGACTTCAATGATGGTGATCTCGTCGATAAGGTTGACGGGATTCTTAGACACTGGAACCACGGTAAGCTCCGCTTGCAGAGGGTACATGCTGCAATGCGGCTGACAGCAAAGAAGGATTAACTCACAATGGGTGTGGGTGCAGGAGCCCGTCGTTGTGCAATAGAATGACTGGAAGAGGGTCGCTGTCGCACGACAAAGCGGAGGGCTGGTGATTGCTGTGAACGGAGGCTGAGGAGTGAGTCCGGAGCGTTTCTTCGAATGAATGAGCCCCGAATTGGTTCCGTCCACACCCCGCGGTTCATATGTGCTCGTCCTTCAGGGCATCGAGGACCAACGTAGACGCTCCAAAGGGTAGTCATCTGATGATTATTCCTGGGGTTATAACAGACAATGCTTTCTCGCACAAGCTAGGGTAACGCTGGCATCCAATGACAGTGGCAGATCTGTCGCTAGGTTCACGTACATTCCCGGCACAGTTAATCATCCTCCGTCTGGTGTTATATACGGGTGGCCCATCACGCTACCGGATAGTCGACTGCTCCCTTACAGGCCACGGGCATCCCAATAACCAGGTGCGTCCAGCATCGGCCAGGACAGAACACAAATTCCACGACAGTTCACAGTGATAGTCACTTCGACCCCTTGAATCGCAGGTCATTGCACATGGCCACAGATCATCGCAATCATCGCAACTCATTGCAGGGAGAGGATGTTCTTGTCACCGCACACAGGTCAACAAGACAGGGCGAATCATAGCTGAGGCCAGCATCATTCCCTGCAAGAGCTGTGAGATGGTTCCAAGAGCCCGCCGTTCGCTGGAGGATGCGGGGTTGAACGAAGGCGGCAAATTGATAGCAGGTGCCAGAGCGCGCGCCTCGGACAGTGACGGGTACGTCGAAACGAGCTCGATGACGACCCAGTGAACGGGTTAATCGAAGAGTCAGATAATCCAGAGGCTTGAAGTCAATCCGGATGCGACGGAGGAGAAGGAGAGCATCCGGTGTATCACTCCAATGCTCATCGACGACGAACCATGGTCCGATGGCTTATTGAATATGACAATAACTTTACAAGACGAGGAAGTTGGTCGAACCTCGAATTCCAGTCCATTTGTATTGTTGAGCTGCAACATCCTCTCTGATGAGGATTTGGGTCCTGCGCGAGTCTAGTCCCAGCGAGCTCCCAAAAAAGGGGTCCAGGAGGACGGCATGGTCACATCCTCGGGAGGCAAATGACAAGCTTTCAAGAGAGAGCAGAGTCTTGGTGGACGATCAACAAGTGCCTTGCTGGGACACATCAGCGCAGTAGCGCGTGAAGGAGAAGGGTACACTCGTTGCAACGTTTCAAAAGCACCACTCTGACTCAATCCGTGTCTGAGCCACACGCGATGGCGTGCAGTGTCTCCTCACGCCTCCGCCGCCAACCCCTTGACTGTCGAAGAAACCTTGTTTCCTTGCGCTGGCCAGCTAAAATCTGACGAATCTCTTCTCCATGACCGTCAGGAGCCATGCTCAGGCTTAATCTTCAACGGTGGACATCCTGTGCCCTTGATTTGTGGAGATGCTTTGGGGCGAGAGGACAAGTGAACACCTCATCCACCGCTAGCAGCGCTGAACTGTGATTTTTGGGTGTCTCGGTGAGCGTTGACGATCTTGAACCTGTCCGGAGGGGGCCGCTAGGACAACTGGCAAACCCGGAGGATTTTTGAACTTCTCCCTGCAAGATTGCGAGGAAGCCCTCAGCCCAACCTCAGCCTGGAATCTGCCCATGAACCAGCTCCTCGGAGGGGTTAGCTAAGCACACCGAAGATTCAGAACCTATACCATGTTTGGAGTTGTCAGCTACTGCACGCAAGCGCGTTGCGGCAAATGTGGTGCTTGCCGGCGCCAGGATCATCCTTCTCCACACTGCTGGCCGGCCGTGCCGATGGTGAGCTCGGACATCTCTAATGACTGGGGGTATCCGTGATAAGCTTACCCCGCTGAAGCGGGAGGGGATCCTAGGAGGAGTCGTATCAGATCAGTCAGTCGCGGGTGAGGGCCTTATACGACTAGATGCCGTCCACGGTGGATTCCCGCTCCCATTTTCCTCCCCGCAAAATTTTACAGAGTTCATCACACTAGGCTCATCTCAGCAACATCCATATACCTCGGTGGTGCCGCAACAAAGCTTTTCCGGTCTCATCTGTGAGGCTTCGACGATGCTGCCTAGTTGCATGGGTCCATGAATACAGACTTCCAACAGAATTCATTGCGTAGCAATTTATGGTCGTATGTACACCACACCCTACCGGCCAGCTCACAATGTCCGTACCCATGCCGGACGGTTGGTTTGCATGACTGCTCAGCTACATACGGCAAGACTTGCCAGTTGTGTGTCTGCATGCCGCCCTCCCACTACTAGAAACAGATTACTCCCTGGACATAATATACGCCGGTCCGTGCTTACACGCGATCTTTTTCTACTCGATTGACATATATCTGTCACGAATTATAATTAACGAAAAATAGCGTTGTGGCGTGAGAGAATCGCACTGTTGCTCCCGTAAGCGGCCTTGACTCCAGCGAACGACGCCCGCTGCTTGCCCCCTTCATCGCCGCCCACCCGACTAATTTCTCTCTTCACGTTCGGGAGTCGACAATATGTCTCAATCCGAGGGTCGTCTACTTGACAGCTTTACGGCGCCGAAGGAGGTGCTGGAGGAGATGGAGGCCTTGGTCGAGGAGGAAGGGTACGATCCTTTCGCTGAGACAGCCTCCAAGCGCCAAATAGCCTCTCGCCAGTCTGATTACCATAACCGGCGTTTCGAGCGCGTTGCGCACGAGAGCGCGGACGTTTTCAAGACGGGCGAGGACGGCCAGGATGTGGAGGGCGGATACAAGGATGCGATGAGGTTGCAGATGCTGGAGAAGGAGGAGCAACGGGTGAAGCGCGCGATTGAAGAAAAGGAGAAGCGGGAGCGGGAAGAGGGGAAGATGAAGATGGACCTGGACAAGACCCCCCCACGCGAAGAGCTGGAGGCCGTTGCGGCGGAGTTGGAGGCCGCGAAAGAACTCGCCACCGGTGGCAGGCGCAAGCGACGATGGGACCAGGAGTCCGATGACAAGGAGAACGAGGACGTCAAGATGGGCGAACCGGAATCCAAGGAGAGCACCGATGCACCGAAAAAGCGTCGGTCTCGCTGGGATGCCACGCCTGCAGACGCACCCGGCGAGACGCCCAAGCGCTCGCGCTGGGACCAAACACCCGCCCCAGCCCCCGAAACTCCTCTGATTCCTATTATTATGAATGCCCCCGGTCTATCTCAGGACGACAAGCATAACCGATACCTTACGGACGAGGAGCTCGATGCTCTCCTTCCGTCCTCAGGATATGCGATCGTCACACCACCTCCAGGCTATGCCCCGTTGGTAGCTCCCAGGAAGCTGATGGCTACTCCTGTCAACGACCTCGGCGGTTTCCAGATCAAGGAGGGCTCCGATGCAGCAGCAGCAGCAGCAGCAGCCGGACTTGCCCCCGAACTTCCCACGGAGATCCCAGGCGTTGGAAACCTCGCTTTCTTCAAGGCGGAGGATGCGCAGTACTTTGCCAAAATTCTCAAGGAGGAGGACGAGACAGAGCTTTCCGTGGAAGAGATGAAGGAGCGCAAGATCATGCGCCTGTTGTTGAAGATAAAAAACGGGACGCCTCCTGTGCGTAAGACGGCGCTACGCCAAATCACGGACAAGGCACGAGAATTTGGTGCTGGTCCTCTCTTCGACAAGATCTTGCCTCTTCTCATGGAGCGCACGCTTGAGGACCAGGAGCGCCACTTGCTTGTTAAGGTCATTGACCGTGTCCTATACAAGCTAGATGACCTGGTTCGCCCATACGTGCACAAGATCCTCGTCGTCATCGAACCGTTGCTCATTGACGAGGATTACTACGCCCGCGTTGAAGGCCGCGAAATCATCTCGAACTTGTCGAAGGCTGCTGGCCTCGCTCATATGATCTCCACGATGCGACCTGATATTGACCATGCCGATGAATACGTGCGCAACACAACCGCTCGTGCCTTCTCCGTCGTCGCCTCTGCGCTCGGTATACCTTCCCTCCTCCCGTTCCTCAAGGCCGTTTGTCGCAGCAAGAAGTCGTGGCAGGCCCGGCACACCGGTATCCGTATCGTCCAGCAAATCGCCATCATGATGGGTTGCGCTATTCTCCCTCATCTTCGCAGTTTAGTCGACTGTATCGGTCACGGTCTTTCCGACGAACAACAGAAGGTCCGCACCATGACCGCACTCGGTCTCGCAGCGCTTGCCGAGGCTGCCCACCCCTATGGTATCGAATCTTTCGATACTGTGCTGAAGCCACTGTGGCTTGGTATTCGTGTTCACCGGGGAAAGGGTCTTGCAGCGTTCCTCAAGGCCATCGGATTCATCATCCCGCTCATGGATCCCGAGTACGCGTCCTCGTACACCAAGGAAGTCACCGTGATTCTCATTCGTGAGTTCCAAACGTCGGACGAAGAAATGAAGAAGATCGTGTTGAAGGTCGTCAAGCAATGTGCTGCCACGGAGGGAGTCACCCCCGGGTATATCAAGCAGGATATTCTTCCCGACTTCTTCAAGGCATTCTGGGTGCGCAGGATGGCGCTTGACCGGAGGAACTATCGTCAGGTCGTCGAGACCACGGTGGAGCTTGCGCAGAAGGCGGGCGTCGCAGAGATTGTGGGGCGGATAGTGAACGATCTTAAGGACGAGGCGGAGCCGTACAGGAAGATGGTGATGGAGACGATCACGAAGGTGGTCGCCAGCCTTGGCGCCTCCGACATTGATGAGCGCCTCGAAGTCCGACTTGTCGACGGCATTATCTACTCCTTCCAAGAGCAAACGACAGAAGATCAAGTCATGTTGGATGGTTTCGGCACTGTCGTAAACGCTCTTGGTGCGTCCCTACGTTTTCTTTGCAGTGTCATGCTAACTCTGCTTATCAGGCATCCGAGTTAAGCCCTACCTCACCCAGATCGTATCCACCATCCTCTGGCGCTTGAACAACAAGAGTGCCAAGGTTCGTCAACAAGCCGCTGATCTCACTACACGCCTCGCCGTTGTCATCAAGCAGTGCGGTGAGGATCAGTTGTTGAGCAAACTGGGCCTTGTCCTATTCGAACAACTTGGTGAGGAATACCCAGACACGCTCGGCAGTATCATTGCCGCCGAGGGCGCTATCGCCAATGTAGTGGGTATGACGGAGATGAATCCACCTGTCAAGGATCTTCGTGAGTCGCTCTCTTATACAGCGGTTGACCCCCTATTGCTAACACCCTCGCCTCAATAGTGCCTCGCATGACGCCTATTCTTCGGAACAGACACGAGAAAGTGCAAGAGGCATCGATTAACTTGATTGGTCGCATTGGTCAGTCCTGCAACTACATAATGCATATTACCTCGCTGATATCTTCTCTTGCAGCTGATCGTGGTGCCGAGTTCGTTCCCGCTCGTGAATGGATGCGGATATGTTTCGAATTATTGGATTTGCTCAAGGCTCACAAGAAGGCTATCCGACGTGCTGCCGTGAACTCCTTCGGCTACATTGCTAAGAGTTTGGGCCCTCAGGACGTTTTGCAAGTCCTGCTTACGAACTTGCGCGTGCAAGAACGCCAGAGTCGCGTGTGCAGTACTGTTGCCATCGCCATCGTTGCTGAGACTTGCGGTCGTGCGTGTCACCGTTCTCTCAAATGTCGTAGATGTGCTAATCATTCTTGAACATACAGCTTTCACATGTATACCCGCCATACTCAACGAATACCGGACAGCCGAGCTTAATGTTCGCACTGGCTGTTTGAAGGCACTCTCCTTCGTCTTCGAATACGTCGGCCCGCAGTCGGCGTACTACGTGGATTCCGTGGTCACCATGCTGGAGGATGCGCTCACGGATCGCGACCTCGTTCACCGACAGACTGCGAGCACTATCGTCAAACACCTTGCGCTCGGTGTGGCTGGTCTGGGATGTGAGGACTCCATGATGCATCTCATGAACCTCGTCTGGCCCAATTGCTTCGAGACATCTCCGCACGTGATCGGTGCTGTCATGGAGGCCATCGAAGCCATGCGAGTTACCCTTGGGCCCGGTGTCCTGCTCAGCTACGTCCTGCAAGGCTTGTTCCATCCTGCCCGCAAGGTCCGCGAGGTGAGTATCGACAATACATGTTATCCACTCTTATTAACTGTCGCTGGTATACAGGTATACTGGCGCATATACAACTCATTATACCTCGGTGCCGCAGACGCGCTGGTACCTTTCTACCCTGACCTCTCGGAGTTGAGTGACGGTCAAAATGTTTATGACAGGCATCCACTTCAGGTGTTCATCTAATTTGTAATCCGTCCGTATTCGTCGTATGCTATATGGTATAACTCTTTATGCACACCCTTGTAACAACAGCGTTGTACTATGAATCATGGCAATGGAGCCGGCATAGATATCTTCACGAGCAGTGGAGAAGTGTAATTGGTCACTGCGCGCCGCCAGTCAACCCAGCGGGGAAGCCCGCGAAGTCCACCTGGTCTTGAATCCTGTTTCCTGCCACGGCAAAAGATATCCGTAATCTCAAGCGAACACTGCTCTGTTCAATAGATTAGTATCGTAAGAATAGAATTAAGATTCATCCAACGAATGCTCACCCCAGGGGGGGCAATCACACGCATTTGTTGCGTCTCGGTTGCACCGACGCTAACGTCTGAGTTAGACATAGGCAGCATCTGCAGTTGCTGAGACTAATGGTGGGGATTCAAAGCTGAAATGCAGCTCCAGGGAGATCCGGCATGCATACCTTCGGTACAGCGGCTTGAAATGATAACCCATTCGCAGGACTTGCACCTGTAACTTGGAACCTTGCCAGTATGTTCACGTACCCTGGCTTCGCAGGGTTCGTCTGTGGTGTCAAGGTGATCTTGAGCCCATTCTTCTCGTATGCGGTATATGAGGTAAGTTGCGGCCGGGGTGCAGGTGGTTGCGATTGCGGCTGCGGCTGTGATGGGGCTGCTTGCGGCTGTTGCGTGAATAGAGAGGACATGGCGGCGGCAGAGGTTGAAGGGTGAGCAGCTGGCGCCGCCGTTGTTGAAGAACCGAAGAGACCGAGGATATCATCCACACTGCTTTTCTGAGTAGCTGGCGGGGCACCAGGAGCCGCGGTCGGGCCAGGGGTGGACGAGCTGCCGAATATGTCGGCAAGGAGGTCTTGAGTGGTCTGCGCGGATGTTGCAGGCTGCCCGTTCGCAGCTGGTGCAGGAGTGGATGCGATGTCGTCGCCCAAGAGGTCAGCCTGTAGGAGGAACTGTCATTGGTAAAACGATACTGGGCTTTTACGACGACTGACCTCTTTGCTGGTCTTTGTCGAACCAACAGGCTTATTCTCGCTAACTAGAAAGGACCAAACGTCAATTGGTTCGTGACGAACAAGGTCATCTCTGCGAGATCCTCACCGACACCCATAACAGTGGCTTTGAGCTCCGGCGGGGGCATTCTCTCTAACACGCCGGCCCTCAGCTCCTCCCCTAGGCCATACAAGCTTGCAAACTCGACTGCTCTCTGCTGGGTCTCCAGCTCCGGATTGGTGGTATATGTCGCCAAGACGCCCGCTATGCGCTCTTGCTGTGGTATGGATGTGGTGGGTCGTGCCGACATTTTTGTGATGGCAGCCAGAACAAATTGCCGGGTGAGATAGTTGGTGTAGGGCGAGTCCAGAACAGATAGAATGAGGTCAACGAGAGCAATGTCTGTTATCTGTGCCACACTTCATCAGTGGTCGTCAACGAACCTGAGGATGCGCATACGAACCGGCTTCGGCTGATCCTCATCCACAAGTCCAGATTCCAGCAGTACCTCGCTGTATTCGCCGATGACCCAAGTTGCAGACAGCGTCAGGGATTCTTGGGAAATGTCTGCCAGAAGCGCAGTGTACAGCTTGGATGCGGTATACGCCTGTAATTCGGGGGTGTGCGCTACGAGACGGATGAAAGAGGAAAGAATCTCCTCCCGAACGAAATTTCCAGCCTTGGAATGAATGTCAGAATTTCCTGCTCACGCCTGACGTGATGGAACTTACCAGCTTGAGGACCCTCAACACCGTATCGATATGCCACCGTTTGTTCGGGCTAAATCGCTCCGCTGCCAAGCATATTTGGGTGGTCATTCCTAGCTTGAATTCGTCGTCCGCTACCTCCAAGAACGCTAGGAGCTCGCGCGTCATGATTCGGACGTTTTGATCATTGATAAGGGCATATGTGAGCTCAAGGGCACGCCGGCGAATAGAGATATCGCCGTCGCGAAGACAATCGAGAATAATATTCCGATGCCGCTGGACCGCGGATGTGTCCATAGAAACAACCTTGTTCAGCGTATTAAGGGCCACGTATCTGTTGCGTGATAAATTCCACGAGTAGCGATTGTTAATATAAAGATAACGCACCTGATGTTGTTGTCACGGTTGCTGAGGAACTTGCCCAATATGTTGATGGCCATGACGCGTAAGCCGCTATCGGCCTCGATCTCGAGCACGGTCAGGACAGTTTCGTAGAGTATTGAGTTGCCGACGTTTTTGGATGAGTCTGTGTTTGTCGCTACCTACATATCGGGGGTGTTCGTGAATTACTCTGAAAAAAGATACGGCACCGACTAACCTGGGCTAAGATATCGTTCATAGTCTCACTTGCATGCTCGTCGCCCTTTCCGAGGATGCGAAGCAAGCGCAGGATCTTGACTTGAAGGAAGGGGTCGGTGATGCCCGAGACGTCATGTTCTGGGCTGTAGCCGGTTGTGACCAGCTGCTTCAGTTGCCTCACCAGCAGTGGGACAGCCTGGAGGACACGGATCAGATGTCGGCATTGCTTCTCGACGTGCGGTAAACCTACGTTGCGGAACTCATCCAAGCACGACTCGTCTATCTGACACATTTCTGTGACAAGAGTGATAGCAGTGAGGAGGACGCCGTGATTGCGGTCGGTAAGGAGGTTCTTGCATTTGTTGGTGAAATGGTCTGCAAGGTCGGGAACGCGTTTGATGACTCGAAGGGCGCAGAGGGCGGCCTGACATAAACATGTTTAAATTTTGAGATTATGCTTTCCAGGACTGACTGCACTGCGTATAACAAGGCGTACTTTCTTCCGGATGTAGGTATTGCTGGACCCTAACAGTTTTTCGATCTCATTTGCCAAATCTCGCGACATCTCTTCAGACGCGATATTGGCGAAAGTGCATAGCGCGAGCCCGCACGCGTACATATTCGGATGGTTCATGTCACTATACACTGTGAACATTAATCGGATTAGAGCGTGACCGACGGTACGCACTTCTTCAGCGAATTCGTGACAAGCGTCAAGACCTCTTGGTTCTCATCCAGAAGTAACATTATTCCAAGGTACCCCAGGCGTTTGTCGGCGAATCTTGGACTTGCGACGAGCTTCAGACACTCGATCTGACCGAAGTGTGCAGGGTTGCCGAGCATGTGAATGTACAGCAGCTTGGCAACATTGTTATATCGGGCGTATGTATCTTCTTCGCGGAAAGACGCTCGGATGGCGGCGGACTCCTGTTGGATGAGTGCTCGCTCGTCGGCTACGGTCTGCGAACATCAAGTTCAGCACAAGATCGGCTTGAAGACAGAATGAATCGTAGACCTTGCATGCCCGGATGCCCTTAATGAGCGCTAACAGCACGTAAGCGTGAAGAAACACTGTACAGGTAATCATCCATACCCTTCAGGTTATGGTAGACCATGGCTTTACACCTGCGATAGCTGCGCTTGGCGACTCGAGTCCGTCACGGTGGCAGCTGTGGTAGATCACATGACCCTCGACCCTCTTTGCCCTTGCCCTCGACGCGTCCACGCTCGTTTCCGATCTCTAGCATCTCCTCCAGGAAAGGCACCATTGCATTTACCTTGGTCAATCGTGTTCTCTATTGCACCACTCCTGGCGAAATTGTGAGCCGGCGCAACATCGTGCGACAGATTGCGCCACCACATCAGTGCTGATTTACTACACAACCAAATTCATCGCTCAGGATATCGGTCGCGCATCGCACTGCGTTCGATGAAGACGCCGATCTTGCTCCCCGGGTTCTGCCTCGAATTCAGGGACATTGTTACCTGGATATACCCCACTGCACGCATGTGAAGTCAATCATGTCTCGAAGTGGCTGTGTAGCTTGCTTCGGAAATGGACCCGCCTCGTGTACGCCCGACCCTGGATTCTGAAAGCTATCTCTCCAACAGCGGCCGTGGCTCATATTGAGCTGCTCTGCCAGCATCCAAGACTCACGCAGGAGCTCGACCTTTACCGCAACATGCCCAAGGCAACTCCTCTATCGTACTCCGCCTCGGATGACGGCGGCCTCTCGGAGTCCGATTACGACGTCATTTCTGAGGCGCAGTCTCTTGAAAGCAGCATCGACGATCTTGGACGCGAACCCAACCCCTTCCACCATGTCGGTGACCTGGATCACAAGCTGAAGCCTTATGAACCGCCCGTCAGTGCGGTGGCAAAGGCGAAGTACGCCACTGCGAATTTGAGCGAAGAAGACATACAGGCGTATATCAGAAAGGCGTTAGGCAGGGAGAAGCTCCTCTCGTCTACGAAAGGTTCCACTATCCGCGGCAAGGGTGACGTTTGGGAAACGAGGACGGTGCGGGTATATGTGGATGGGCTCTTTGACGGGTTCAATGTCAGGTGATTATCACTAGGTTACTATTCCGACAAACTAGCTGCTGACCTCCCAATAGCCATGCGCTACAACTACGTCAAGCAAAGCTCTCGTTCCCGTCCGTCCACCTCCTCGTCGGCGTACTTCCGGAATCGACCGCAGCAACGCCCTCTTCAACCTCCACCCTCCCGCATGCCGAACGATGCGAGCTACTCCGACATGTGCGCTGGGTGGACGAAGTCATCGTTGACGCTCCTTACTCCCTCGCCACACCATCCGCCGATCAGTTCCTGAAGTTGTGGAGGATTGATTACGTGGCCATAGAAGAAGGCAGCAGCATCAACCCCGAATGCGATAAGGACAGGTTGAAGGGTTACGACAGGATGAAGGAGATAGGGAAATCTATACCCACCAGGAGAACGACAGGTGTCATTGGGGCTCTCCCGAGAGTGCCCTCGACTGCGTTGCCTGGGACTGGTGGTCCTTCGCAGGCAGAGGAACCCCCGCGTAGCCGAACTCCGAGTCCCTCACCTCCTGGGACCCCGAGATCACCGCTACCGCTCTTTGAGGAGGGACCACCTCTCGACATATACGGCATCGGTATCTAGGCTCGTGTATACTTATCACTTCATGATGATTGCCTCGGTAGTTGGTGCCTGTGATAAGACTGTGACCGTGTGACCGGACGCGACGCGTTCGAGCCCCTTCATTGCTACCTCGACCATGGCCTCACGAGAGGAGGAACGGCATACTTCTGCGCAGCAGACACTCGACAGTGCGCAAGTCGTCATGAATCTGTTTCAACGCCGCTGAACGCTTCCGCTGCGAATTGTGCTAGTTTTGCATGATATGTCTCAACTTCTCAACACTGGTTTAGACAAGGAGACGCTGGCGACTTGCATTGGAATGATCGAAAGCGGTGTCAACCCAGAGGCGCTTGCAGTGCGTCACCGACGTCCGTCGCATGATTGAATTAATGAAAACATCATAACCTATAGGCCGTCATTCAGGAGCTGAGAAGGGAGGCTGCTGCACTTCGGGTCAATCCACAGCCACCCGTTCAGGATCGGTGGAGATGATGCTTTCGAACCACGAGTTCAAGCTTGCGAATTACTGCAGGATTTGGTGAGTGCACGGTGCCCATCGAGTTACATCAGAGGATTGGACATTTCCTGTCAGACAACGGAACGAACAAGCGCCGGATCTCTACGAGGTGCAGGGCACACTTCAATATCTTCTTGCGGAGATACCGGTCAACTCAGAAGGCATAGAACTGTCGTGAATCGGTCCCCGGGGAGCCTGAGACTGGTCGGCCGTACTTCGGTATCCGTGTGTAAACTGATAGGACGGCTGCCTTTGGGAGACAAATAAGTACTTCGGCGGGTTGCTTCAATACTGGCCTCCCTGATCGCAGTGGCTGTGCCGAGCGCTTATAGTTACAATCTTCCTTAGGCACGATTCGACTGTATTTCTTTCTACTATAACTTTATCCAAACATGGCACCGTCCAAGACGAACAAATCTGCACCAAAGGATAAGAAGGAATCTGCAAGGAAGGAGAAGATCTTTCATCCGCAGTCTCGAAAAGCTGGCCAACTCGCTCGAACTCAGCTTCGAAAGGACAAACTCGCCTCTGCTGCATCAAAACGAGCCAAAAAGCACGCCTCACATGGTTCGTCTCATCCGCATGCACACTTACCGAGCTGTGCATCTGAGGGCGCCTTCTCTGTAGTTGACCTCTATGGATTCTTCTACCATGCGATGCCTCCGACTGGGGTGTTTACTCTACAGGAGCTGCACGAAATCATCAGGGATGTATGGTTGACGAGGCATGATGCCGCATTGGACCAAGAACGGGCGCAACGCCGCCCAGGCCGACCGAAGAGTACGGGAGAGCTGAAGCTGGAGGAGATCAAGCTCCGAGAAACTGAGGAGTACCGGACGGGTATGGGTACGTGGATAGTTCCTTTGTTAGCTGGCTTTGCCTACCGAATACCTGACGCCTGTGTCCCATAGAGGTCCCCGATCTCACGGATCCTGCGAATGTTGCCCTGTTTCGGGCCTGGGACCAGGTTGAGTTCGCCTACATTCAACTCCTCCGCTTCATCCGCATATCCGGGGCCCACCCCGACAAATTCATCGTCACCAGACCCGGAAAACATGTCACATTGAATGCTACACCGAGCGTCGCAGCAGCCGCGGGTGAAGTTCAGGATGCGCCAATGGAAGATTCTGAGCAGATTCGATCACCTCCGAGCCGGACAAACTCCTTCCTCGCTGAACCCCCGGAACGGTTCTCCAGCACCATAATGTATATGGATGGCTCCTGATGCTCGAATGTTTCGAGTCCGAGTAGGCAGTGTTCAATACATACATAGGTTAATCACAAACTGAAACTACCTGAAGGTACCAATCGCGCGGAAGCTTCGCCTCCCGGAGCAATCCACGGGAGCGACGTGGTCCGGAACGCTCACCGACCGAATGACACTATCACTATTGGGTTGCTTAATGAGCTCCGCATGACCTTGTCACTGTAGACGAATACCACCCCAAGCGCTATAATCATGGCGCTGCACAGCGCCGATGATAAGTGTTGGGATTTTTTTTTTTTTTTTTTCCCTGTTTAACGTCCGTTGCGGGCGTGCCGTATGTTGGACGTTACTGTACAAGCGTGTGCCTCTATCCCAATCTTATCCGGCTCCGTTGACTTCTTCCGGTCAAAACCACTGCCTCTCAGGTTTGGGTCTGATCGGCTTGGGCGCCTGGTTAGGCGGTACGTGATGATATGTTGTGGTAGGTGTCGCATTGTGCTTCCCATCGTCGCAGTTCCTGTCCTTCCCGGTTCGTTCATCGTCTCCTGGGCGCGTTAAAACCTCCCGCCATAAAACCACTTGGGGAAAACTGGCGGGAGGAAAGCTACCCCTCACCGCCTCCTCCTTCGTCTCTCCCTTCCCGTAACTCCCTCGATCTCTGGTTCCGTCGGTCCCTCTTCTCCTTGTCCCTTTCGTATGGGTCCACCCAGCGGTCTTCGTCTATGTCGACGTTGCCGTGTGTCTGCGCGAATCGACCTGTTTCCGTAATGTACCTGTAGAGGGCCGGCAGCGCCTTCGAGTCCGATAGCAAGTACTTAATGTTACTCGCCTTGTGTCCCAGTTCCGCACGAAGCTTTCTCCTAGGTTCCCTGAATTCCGAGCATTGTGTGAGGAAATGTGATACCGTTTCCGGGTAGGTTCTGCAATGCGGGCATATAGGCGTCGAAGATTTCTTGATGCGGTGGAGGTGTTTGTTCAGTCCGATGTGTCCTGAGCGTAGCTGGATGAGGAGCGATAGCTGTTTGCGCGGGAGGACTTGAGCCAGCTTCCTAAAGTGGCTCGGCGTGAACTTAGGGTCGAGTTGCCTGATGCGCCGGACATGTTTGGATTGACGTTCTCGCTTTTCTCGTATCGCCTTTGCTTCCTTCTTGTATGTCTTTCGCACTGCAGATTTGCTCCAGGGAAGCGGTTTGCGTAGTAGTTTAGGTAAAGTACTCGCCGGGCTGGATGTCCCTTGTGCAGCCGCTTTCGCCTCTTCGTCAGCTTTCTCGTTCCCCTCGATGCCGACGTGACCCGGCGTCCAAACCATTGCGATTTCGATCTCGTCTCCGACTCGGTCCGATACGTTCGACATGATCCTATGCGCCGTTTCGTCCATGATGTAATGAGCTCCCCTGGGCTTCTGCGACGCTGTTGACATTAGGGTGGAGGTGCTGTCTGCCCCAATCGTGGCCGTATCGAATCCGTCCTTGTGGCGAGAGATCTGCTAAAGCATGTGCGCTGCCATGAGCTGGCCTACGAGTTCTGCTTCGGTAATGCCATAGTACTTAGCTGATCCTAGGTGGTAGCAAAGCGTTCCGATATGCTTATTGCGGTAGTATAGGACCGACGCTGCGCCGACCTTGTCGTCGATCTCTGATCCATCCGTGTATATCTGTACGTCCGCTTGGTTCTCCTCTGCGGCCGTTTTCGCCTGCTCCTTGTTCGGTGGGATTGCGATGGTGAACGGTCTCGAGTGTCGTGGTCCCTCTCTTGTGGCACTAATCTTCTCCATGCGTTGTGGGTCGATCCGGAATTCCCTGTAGAGTTCGTGTAGGGGTCCTCGATGTGCTTTGACGTACCTCTTTGATGCCCGGTTCGCACATTTGGCCAGGGGGTTCGTCTTTGGCAGTGTCGATATCCGTACCGTGTTGCGGTGGAGTATGTCGTGTACCGCCATGTCGAAGGGAGCTAGATCTGCGTGCGCATTCAGTATGTCCGTTGGCGTCGTTCGAAGGGCCCCGGTGGAGTGTAGCGCTGCCTGTCGTTGTACGGTTGCCATCTTGCCGATGAACCGCCGGCTGGACCTGTTCTTGATGTTCGGTGGGGATAGCCAGACGTCCGCCCCGTATAGCATTCTTGGGAGAGCGATCGTGAGGTAGAACTTCCTGAGGTATCGGTGCCATACTCCGGAGGCGTTGCGTGCTAGTCGGCGGAAGTGTTGCATATAGTCAGTGCCCTTCTTCAATGCGTACGCTGCGTGTTCGTGAAAGCGTAGTTCTTGGTCTATAATGATCCCGAGCCACTTAGCTGATTCCGCCATTTTGATGATCGTCCCGTTGATGCTGATCTTGGGCCTTTCGGCCGGCCTCGTTTTGGGAGTGCCCTCTGGGTTTGGTTCTCGTCGCCTGGTGAACCCGATGCATACTGTTTTCTCGAGTCCGAATTTGCAGTTCGTAGCTTCGCTCCAGTCGAGGGCCCCGTTCGCCCGTACCATGCAGCTTTCTACTTTGCCCGCTGCTTCTTCCAGGGTGTCGCCGATTGCCAGGAATCCCGTGTCGTCCGCAAAGCCGAATGATTCCTCTCCGTCCGCTCTGTCTGGTGCTTCGCGTAGGAGCCGGTCAATGTAAAATATCATCCCCGTTGATGAGAACGGGTCGCCTTGATCGAGTCCATCTTCAAGGGTGATGATGTCGGATTCGTAGTCGTCAAATGCTAGGCGCGTCTTCCGGCCTTTGAATCTCCATCGTATCCAATCGGTGTACTCCCTAGGAACTCCTTTCAGTCGCATCTCGTGTATGAGGACGCTGATCACGATATGAGGAAACGCAGCTTTGATGTCTAACAGAAGTAACGCCGCGCATTTCCCTCTTCGGCCAGGCGT